GTACATCCTGAAACTACGTCAACAAAGACTGATATCCATGATGTTAGAGGTATTGATTATCTTGAGCAATGTTTACTTACGAAACTTTGTAAATTTGAAGATCTTTCTATTATACATGCAGGAGATTTAAATGCAAGAACTGGCATTTTGCAAGATTTTATTATATCTGACGATGATAAGAGTTAAACATATATCTTAACATTAAATGAAATGGAGTATTCAGGTGATACATTTAATACTACGAGGTTCTCTCAAGACACTGTTATTAATGAATATGGTAAAGATCTTATCGGTCTATGCTGTACATTTGATATGCATATTCTTAACGGTCGTTTTCCAGGAGATATAAATGGCTCTAAATTACCTGTTTTGCCAATAACGGTGCCAGTTTAGTTGATTATATTGTCTGTTCAACGACATTGTTCGGTCTATTTAGGATTTTTGTGTTCATACACGTGCAGAGTCTGATCATTTTCCTATATCATGTTCCTTAGTTGGTGATTCTCCATCGCTTCAACATTCAGAATCAGAGACTATACCAAGCAAGTTTGATAAATATATCTGGAAGGAAGCTCGGGCAGCAGATTTTATTGATACATTGAATGTGAATATTCAAAAAATAGATGTAGACTATTTTAGTTCTCTTTGTAATCATGACACTTCAGAGGCAGCAGAACTGTTATCTACTACAATTCAGCAGTGTGCAGGTTAAAATAATATGAAAGTAAAATGTCGAACTTCGAATATGTGCACAAATGAAGCTTGGTATGATGACGAATGTCACTCATTAAAAACTGAGAAGTATTTGTTCCTTGATAAGTTTAGATTGTCAGGAAATCTTGATTTTGTGCATAGTTTTAGACGTACAAGAAATAAGTATAGAGAGGTTTGTCGTTCTAAATCATCCGTCTATGCAAATACACTTGCTGTAGATATTGTCAACTCTAGTAAGCCAAATCCCAAAGCTTTTTGGTCTTATGTAAAGTCCATTATTAGAAATCCTAGTAATAAAATTAAATATCAAAATTTTAGATATTGATCAATAGGTATCAGCTATAAATCTGATCATTCATATATTTCACTTGAAATGTCATTACAACCTACTGCGAGAGGTCCTTGCTGCTGGAAATTCAATACCTCACTCTTACACATTACGTTACACTTTGATAGAGATACTATTCATGATACTATAAATGAGTGAATCGTATCCAGCGAAATAAAAGTACAAAACCCTTTCCATATTCATTAGAAATATCTGCCAAAAGCAGAGTCGATGTATGATTCTGACTATATTATGAGCAAGTATTTATGAATCTCTATCAAATAGTGATGACACAAGGGGTTCACGAAATGTTTTGCGTAATTGTGTCGAACATCATGCTTGTCACTGTTGAGTCAAATTTGGAAATGTCCTCCAAATGTCTGCCATTAAGCCTTTTGAAAGCTTCCCTGATGCCTTGAATATTATAAACTTGATCAAATAATCCTATGACGCTCTTTGAAATCTTTGTAGAAAGAGCATGCTCGATTGTACCTCAAAAGATGTGAAATGTAGACACTAAGCTGCAGGAATACTGCTCAACATAAGGGGAAAGTTGACTGTTGGGAAGTTGAAGTAATTCCTTTTGTCACACAGTCTTGTGGGGAGCGTTTTGTCACTCTGAATCTTTAGTTGCAGACCTAAATATGAAACAGGAGAGGTGGTATCACTGGTCTCCGTTATTTCTAGTTCAGGTGGGTAAATCAGTGGAATGGTATTAACGATTTGATCAGATCATCGATATACCTAAAGCTTAATTAAACCTCCTTGGACAAATTACATTCTTTTGACTTTGCCAATCCGAGCAGAAATTCCGATTCATATGAATAAAGAAACAGATCTTCAAGAAGTGGAAAACAATTGGTGCCCATGGGGATGCCTACATGTACGTCTTGCCAAAATGTCTTACCCTCAAATTTCACATGGATGTTATCAAGGAGGAAGTCCAACATGTCCCATATTTTTTTCTCAGTAACCTTCAGATGACATTTGCTTTCATTTTTATCAAATTGTCCTGAATGTCTTTCCCCAACATTTAACGTATAGGTTAGAGCACGAGGACCAGGTGTCTAATCGTTGAAATGGTTTGTTTGAGTCCGAGGCGTGATACATTTGAATGCAGTTAATTTTCCGTTTATTACCAATCAATCAATCAATCTTTATTCATGGTACTTATGAGGCCAAAGGCCTATAGTACAATGTGTGGGGCGTGTTACAAATTCATGCATTTTCTTAGTTTCATGGAATGATAAATGAACATTGATAGATTTCTAATAGTTTCTGTACAATCACAAGTCATTAATTTACAAAAATTGTTACCGTTTGGGTTGCGGTAGAAATAGTTATTTAGATATTTTGCTCTTAAATCTTCATACACTGGACATACACATAAAAAGTGATATTCATCTTCAGTACAATCAGTTTTACAAATCCTACAAAGTCTGTGTTCTCTTGCAATACCTTCATATCTGCCTGTTTCAATAGATAGATCATGTGAGCCACAACGGAATCGAGAAAGAGCTGTTCTAAACTTATGTAAATTTACACTTAATAGATAAGGTTCTAGTATAATAGTAGTCTTAAATGTAGTGTAATAGTTTGCTTTTCTAGAACTTAACAAAGAACAATGCCATTTTTGAATGTACATATCTTTTAAAGTCTGTGTCAAACGGGAGAAGAAATGTTGTGGCATATCTACATGTTGCTGTAACCAAATATAACCATATCCACATTCGTATAACATGTTTTTAACTTTTGATGCCCAATTTTGTTTCCCATGGCTGTCGTAGAGAAGCATCATATTATAACATTTTTTCGGGTATCTTGAAGATGGCATATTTAATAGCTTGACCCAGTATTTAATAACCTTTAAATAACTATTGATATACATGGGAAACCGTCCGCATTCACCATATACCCTTGCGTTTTCTGTGCTAGATTTTACCCCCAAGAACCGTTTACATGCATATAAATGTATTTTCTCAATAACATCCAAATGTTCTAGGCCCCAAATTTCGGATCCATACAATAGCATCGGGCTTATTTTTGTATCAAATATTTTAAAATAAACATCATATGTAACATTTTCCAGAACTCTAAGACTTTTTAATATGCCTACAAATTTTCTTGGCTTGCAATGAAATGTTATGTGCATTCCTTGACCAAGTTAATCTACTTGTAAAACACAAGCCTAAGTATTTATAAAATGGAACAACTTCTACAGGCTTCCTTCTGTAAAACCATTTTTCTTTTCTGGATATGTTACCACCATTTTTAAAAACTACAACTTTGGTTTTATCCATATTTACAGTAAGTTTTGACTCGTCACAATAACTCTCTAATACATGTATTTGCTTTTGCAGGCCAGGTATTGTGCTCGAGAACATGACTATATCGTCAGCGAAAAGAAGCAGAAATAATTTAATAGTTTTGGGGTGCAGTTGTATTCCATCAGTGCATCATTTATGAAAAAGGAAAATAAGAAGGGATTTAATATACACCCTTGTCGGACACCCCTGCTACTTACAAAAGTATCCGATATAGCGCCATTGTTCCGTACACATACCTTCACATTTTTATATAGAGAGCATAGTAACTTTCCAATTTTGCTACTCAGCCCATGTCTTTGAAAGTGTGACCACAAGTTATCCCTTTTCACAGAGTCAAAAGCTTTTGCAAAATCTACGAATACAGCATATAGCTTCCCTCCTTTCACTGATAGATATCTCTGAATTATAGAATATAGGATAAAAGCATTGTCAGTGGTGGAGTATCCTTTTCTAAAACCTGCTTGTGACTCACTTATCTTATCCAAAGAATCCGCCCAGAAAACAAGTCTCTTGTTAATAATTGAAGTAAATATCTTACTGAATGTACTTAGGAGAGTTATGCCTCTATAATTATTAACATCGCTGGTTGCGCCCTGTTTGTGAAGAGGGACAATAATGCCAACTGTCCAATTATCTGGAAAATATGATCTCTCTAAAAGGATATTAAAAATTAGTTCCAAATATGGTATTAAAATGTCTGAGGAATGTTTAAAAAACTCTGCTATCACATTATCATTTCCAGATGCCTTATTATCTTTAAGGTTGGATATGCTGTCAATAATTTCCTCTCTAGATATTGGACATTCAAGAATATCATCTGTTACACTGTCAACTTTATCTTCCATGAATTCCATGTCAAATAAATTGTTATTGTCATGGCTAAATGGAACTGAAAACAGTTCCTGGAAATGCTCAAACCAGGCTTGAATATCAATGTCATTTTTGCAATATCTATTTGGTTTAATGGCTTTTAGCGATGACCAAAATGTTTTAGAATTATCTATGCTTGATTCCAACAGTTTCTGTTTTTGTTCGAAATATTCTGTCTTTTTTTTCCTACAAACATCATTTATTACAGATCAATTGCACGTTTTGAGTTATTTCTTGAAACAATCTCATAATCACAATTCTTTCTTTCATTGAATAAAGAATAAACCTGGCCCTGCACATCAATAGCTTCATGGTCGGACTTGTGTCAGGTATACGAGCCTAAATACAACAACGTCAACTAGTATCCGAATGTCCATGCACGCATAAATACACACACACACCTCGCACGCACGCACGCACGCACACTCACTCACTGGAGTTTTTATTGTTATACTCAAAATAAGACAAACCTTTCACAGTCCTTGGGAACCCAGCTCCCTAATGCTTGACGTGAGAGGTAACTACATTGATTGAATGGTAAGGTTCAGTCAGAAGGGTTGGTAGCGTGTCACCGTACCCCGACTGCATATGAAGTTACTCATAATATCAACCACATGTTTGTCTGGCCCTTACTTGATTATTTACTGACATATATATTTACTGTCATATGAGGAATAACATTGCTGATTGCAGCGTTGCAAAACCACAAAATATTCACTGCAATTAGACTGGGCAAATGCAAAAGAAAACGAAACAGCATATGTTTGCGCATGTTATTTATATATCCATATATTCATATATGATGGTTGAATCATTGGTTAACTGCAGTACAATCGCGTATTTATACTGTCATGTAGGATTTTTGTCAGCCAATCAGCGCCGACGTTGATCCAATCTTTGTCTTCAGACACATAGACGGGGATTGGCTGAGCAGGACATCTTTGTACATGCTGACGGTCGTCTTGCTGCAGCCGCTCACTGCAGACACCAGACACTTCTGGGTGGCATTAGTGTCACTGAAAACAAGCAAACGCACTTCCAGAGTTACCACATACAATCCTGAGTAGAAATATCATATGATATCATTTGCATAAAAAAAAAATTCTTAAAATAGTTCCCGTTTTACAGAAGCGTGTCTCTCTACGTCGGTATATTCCTTGTAGCTTGTCGGTACGTTTAATTAGCATCTGGCAGTTCCAATGTCTGACTGGAAATAGTGTGTGTCACCACGTCACCGCGGCATGGATCGTTGCTAATGCCTGACCACGTGGAGATTATTATTAAGTTGTCTAAATATTTTTGTAATATTTGTAACACATTATGACGAGTACTTTGGTATATTCTATGCTGCTACACACGAGCATTGACTCCTTTACCTAGTATCTACGTGAATACAACTTTGAGCTGACAAAAAATGATTTAAAACTGCAGTGGGAATTCATCCGAATGGTGAAGTTTACTTACTCGCACAGATGTCTCAGGATAATTGAAGCCAAAGAGCGTCGTTTACTGCCGCACGCTGCTTTAGGTGCATTTTGAACACACTTGGTGTCGAAATCTAGGAACAGATCATCGTAAGGATGGTTGAGTGTATTATTCCGAAATTAAAGCAAGTTCAAATTAATTGCAGGTAACCCTCTCCTCAAATACACATGGCTTTTGTTTCTGTTTGGATGTTTAATTCTTTTTAAAAATGTCAAATTTTACCGTCTAAATATTGACAGGTAAGCCATATACGTTTCCTTTTTCGAAAAGATACACATATAAATAACAGATCGACATCTTGTCGTATATCTCACCCCCAATGTGGCCGCAGAGTTTAGCCAAGCCGTCCTGCACTGTCTGGGAGTCGGCCACCGTGGGCTTCATCACGTGGTCACTGCACTGCTTCTGTACCCACAGAGTACAGTTCACTGCCAGCTGGTAGTTCTTCAGATTACTGTACGATATAGAACGTAAATCTGTGTTAACTATTTAGATCTATGCATAAAAATTCAGAGTGACAAAACACTCTCCACAATACTGTATGACAAGAGGAATGACTTCAACTTTTCATTAGTCAACTTTCCCCTATGTCGAGCAATATTCTAGCAGCTTTCTACCTAGACTTCAAAGAGTGTCATACGACTCTTTCTCAGAAGTTGTTTGATCAAGGTTACAACATTCAAGGCCTCAGTAAAGCAAACAATATATGGCAGTCGTGATGAGGCCATTCCAAATTTGACGCATCAGTGACAAAAATGATGTCCGATGCAATTCCCTATTTTGACTTGTACCATATGTTCCCGTGTTTTTGCAGGTGAACATGTGACTTGCTTTTGCATTTGTTTGTGACGGGTGCCACCGGTGGGGCAGGATACGCTCACTGTTTCGCAAACATCTGGTATCATCAGTATTCCATAGTGATTCATAAACGCATGCTCATGATATATTAAGAATTGAGGAAGCGCTGCCTAGTCGAACCCATCGAGAACTTTTCGGAGAATGTGAAGACTCTCCAACACTGCATTTCCAAGTTTGTCAGAAGGGATGTATTCCTGGCAGCAAACCCGGGTACTCTCCCAATGTCAGTCAACAGATTAGGAGGTACCAAACCTAAGGCACCGTGAACAATGGGGAGTGGGAAAACTTGGTACTAGGGATGCAAGCGTGACATTTCGAAAGCGAGGTCTGCATATTTGCCATGTTTTTCCCGAATCTTGTCAATCACATTAGTGTCAAAAAGGACAGAAAATTCAATGATATAAATGATTTCATTGGATTTATCAAAAAGGACAAGATCAGATTTGTTGGCCTGGATATGTCTGAGGCTGTATACGGGCCTATTCCAAAGAATTTCGTATTTATCATTTTCCATGATGCCCTCTACATATTCAGGGTGGTACCATGGATGGATCTCTGTGTCAAAACCACAAGCATTGCAGAGACGGTAATAAAGTGATCGGGCCATTCCAATATGTCGCTTAAGACACTGTGTTTGTGCCAAAGCTGGGCATCCACTGACAATCTGTTGGACAGTCTCATTAAATTCATTGCACATTCTACATTTCATATTTAAATTTTGATGCCAAATCACTCAGTGACGGTTTCAAGTGGGAAGTGACTGGTCCTGAGCAGCAAACAGAAAGCCTTCTGTTTCTGTTTCACTTTTCAGGCCAGTCGACCTCATCCAGGCGAAGGACCATGCAGGGTTGCTGATCATAAACTGCACATAAACTCGATGCAGTGGTCGTTCAGCTAGCCTCTCCTTGAAAACCTGAGTCTCGGACGATTTGATATGGCACTTCGCTTGGTTGACACTCATTTCTGTACCGTCCAGCAGTACAGAACTATCAACAAAATCAACACTGACATTGAGATTATGTCCCGCATCCTTAGCTCGTTTACGTAAACTGTTGAATGCCTTGTTTTCATCAAGAGGATCATCACCAGACAAATATATGTGTGCAAAAGTGCACAAAACAATTCTATTATGAAGAGCCTCCACGTTGATCAAACCACGCCCTCCCATTATGATTGGTAAATATAACCGATTGAGGGAAGAGCGAGGTTGGTGGGATCTATTGTTTGTAGTCAGGATCATCCAAACCCTCTTTGCTGCATTTTCGGCGACAGTGTTAGCAAGGAAGTATGTACCTGCACAGCTGTAAGCTGTTGAATGATTAACAAGGTTAGCAAGGAAACTTGTTCCTGCAAAGCTGTAAGCTGTTGAATCGGTGTCAGGGTTAGCAAGGTAGTATGTACCTGCACAGCTGTAAGCTGTTGAATCGGTGACAGTGTTAGCAAGGAAGTATGTATTTGCACAGCTGTAAGCTGTTGAATCGGTGACAGGGTTAGCAAGGAAACTTGTTCCTGCACAGCTGTATGCTGTTGAATCGGTGACAGGGTTAGCAAGGAAACTTGTACCTGCACAGCTGTAAGCTGTTGAATAGCTGACAGGGTTAGTAAGGGAGTATGTATCTGCACAGATGTAAGCTGTTGAATCGGTGACAGTCTTAGCAAGGAAGTATGTACCTGCACAGCTGTAAGCTGTTGAATCGGTGACAGGGTTAGAAAGGAAACTTGTATCTGCACAGCTGTAAGCTGTTGAATCGGTGACAGGGTTAGCAAGGAAACTTGTACCTGCACAGCTGTAAGCTGTTGAATCGGTGACAGGGTTAGAAAGGAAACTTGTATCTGCACAGCTGTAAGCTGTTGAATCGGTGACAGGGTTAGCAAGGAAACGTGTACCTGCACAGCTGTAAGATGTCGAATCGGTGACAGGGTTAGCAAGGAAACTTGTACCTGCACAGCTGTAAGCTGTTGAATCGGTGACAGTGTTAGCAAGGAAGTATTAACCTGCACAGCTGTAAGCTGTTGAATCGGTGACAGGGTTAGCAAGGAAACTTATACCTGCACAGCTGTAAGCTGCTGAATCGGTGACAGGGTTAGCAAGGAAACTTGTACCTGCACAGCTGTAAGCTGTTGAATCGGTGACAGGGTTAGCAAGGAAATGTTTACCTGCACAGCTTCTTGTTTTCGTCCAATGTCATTGCGTTCAAGATATATTGACTTGTGGCATCACTGGATGGTTGTTCCGGGACAAGGAGCGTTATCCCGTTGTTCATTAAGCATTGAAGGTAGCCCTTTCGGATGGTTTGATCGCTTGAACAGTCCACCTGGACTACATCTACACCGGTAGTGTTGACATCTGATGAAGGTAATATGAAACATCAATATGGAGATCACAGGCTTACATTACGTAACTTCGCAAACAGGCAGAGATGGTTTGAAAGGGTTCCTAATTAATTAAGAAAATTAATGAAAATGTAAACCGCTTGTCTTATGTTTCTTTAATAGTATTTTGTGAATTTAAGTGAAGTAAAAGGGACAATTTATAACGGGCAATATAGTTTATGATATGACGTAGTTGAGTAGATCAAGGGTGCCAAAACATTTCGAATCCCGGTTGGCCCTGATTATGTTTCTAAGCATGTCTAAACCCGTCTCGTGGCTTTCACCACGGTGGTAAACGTCTAAGACCTGCATCAAATCGGACTTTTCTCCCACATTCAGCTAATACGCCGAGATACAACGGGAATACTATTAAAAGCGGCGCCAAACCAAACTTACTCACTCACTCACTCTTATCTTACGAACGTGTAGAGATCGAAGTGCAGCTGCTTGTGTCTGGCTGTGATGCTTCGAACATCTGCAGGCTGAGTTGACCACAAGCAGGCATGAATCTTCGGCCACATACCATCATCAACTGTGTTGACCTGCCATGCATATTGTAATACATCATTTAAATGATGACTCAAGAACACTTTCAAAATTGAAATCACGTAAAGTTAATGATTTCCTTGACGCAATGCCATCAGAATTGAACAGCTATTTCCTGCAATTTGTCAGTGTCCTTTGCTCTACCAATGAATATTAAAAGTGAAGGAAATTTAAGTCCACTTTGTGGTAGATTGGTTTATGTGAAAGAAATTCTACTTGAATTCAACACGTCCTGAAGGGAGATCACCTATTTTCATATCCACCCGAACACAAATTAACATTAAATAACCAAAAACGAGGCTAATTGAAGGATATATTTCATTTTCGGTTGTATCTTAAATGACAACCTTCTTGCTCTCAAAGACTAAAACATTTCCACATTTTCGTCAGTAAGTGTATCATCAAGTGATGGAATTCAAAGAATATACATTAACCTGTTTCGATGTTATGACGTTTGCCTCCTTATCATGGTCCTTAACCTTTGATATCATTAATCTGTTGGCAAAGTTAGCAGCAGATTTGTTCTGTAACCTGTTCATGGACAGAATATCGCTAACAAAATACAATGAGGAAATACGATGAAGAGAAACCGAACAGGTAGTATGTGCTTGTCATGCACTAAGGGAATTGTCGTGGACGTGGACGTGGACGTGGACGTGGACGTGGATGTGGATGTGGATGCGGATGTGGATGTGGATGTGGATGTGGATGTTGACGTGGCGTGGAGGTGGACGTGGACGTGCGTGGAGGTGGACGTGGACATCGGTGTGTGGACGTGGGTGTTTGGATGTGGACGTGGGTGTGTAGACGTTGGTGTGGACGTGGATGTGTGGACGATAACGTGCACGTGGACATGGACGTAAATGTGGAAGTGGACGAGAACGTGTAAAGTGGGCGTGTTTATGGATGTGGACTTTGTTATGGACGTGGACGTGGTTATGGACGTGGACTTGGTTATGGACGTGGACGTGGTTATGGACGTGGACATGGACGTGGACTTTGTTATGGACGTGGACTTGGTAATGGACGTGGACGTGGTTATGGACGTGGACGTGGACATGGACGTGGACGTGAACGTGGACTTGGTTATGGACGTGGACGTGGTTATGGACGTGGACTTGGTTATGGACGTGGACTTGGTTATGGACGTGGACGTGGTTATTGCGTGGACGTGGTTAATGACTTGGTTATGGACGTGGACGTGGTTATGGACGTGGACGTGGTTATGGACGTGGACATGGATGTGGGCGTGGTTATGGACGTGAAAGTGGGCGTGGTTATGGACGTAGCCGGAGATGTGGGCGTGGTTATGGACGTTGACGTGGTTATGGACGTGGGCGCGTGGGTGCATTAGTAAAAGAAATGAATTTGTCCTTCTGGCAAAGAAGAATTTGAAAGCCGAAGTTGGATTTTATATTTGTTGTTATTCCTAATGACCGTTTAATCTGACCTTTGGTACAGAAACGTTTTCAACGTATGCTCGTTCCTCAACGACAGAGCAACACTAAGAATGCCGCACTCATAACGCACACACATACTTGTGTTATCTGAAGGATTAATATCTGATAGAAGTATAGTAACTTACGCACATAACGTCCTCTGCATTAAATCGGTTATGTTGATACTGAGTGGATCGCTGATGCTGATGGCGCCGGTGATGTTGGCACAATCAACGATTTTCGGCAAAACTTCATTCAGGCAGGTTTGGTTGACCTCTTTAGAATCAATCACACGCATAAGGTTATGCAACGAAACCACAACACTAATCAGTTGAACAGACATCTAGTCTGGCGTTTATGTGTTGTACATATGAGAACTAAATTGTGTATGTGCGAGTGAGTCTGTTTCTACCCCGCAATATCACGGCTGAGGAGACCAGAAGTAGCCGTCACACATTGTATCCAAGAGGGAAACCGAACCCAAGCCTTCGGTGAGACGAGCGAACGTTGTCATCAGTTGTCTTCCCAATCGCCCTGTTGCTCTTTACACAACGAAAGGGATGATATGACTGGAATCGAAAGTACTTAATGATGGTGAAGGAAGATGTGGCTCGATACTCTTTTTGTCACACAAGACAGAAGTCAACTGGAGCAAATGGTTCTGCTATGTCGAGTATAACATCCTCTGGCTGAGAACGTATCCCGTAAGGTGACATTTGTACTTCGTTCTGCCAATCAAGGCACGTTTTAATACATGCCACAATAAAATGATAAAGCATCACATTGGATGGATATATATTTCTAAACATCCACCATTTCTTAGTTGAATGTTCAATCACAATTCAAATTATATTAACTAATTTATTAATATAAATACTTCAAAGACACGGTTCCTATAGTTATTCCTAAAAGTTATTTTTAACTTAATCTCTGTGTATCATGTTTGATCCTATACTTCTATCAAGGTACATAATAAAACAAGAAGACAGCATAGGTTTTTCACAACATATGTCTAGTCAATTTGTCTTTTAGACAAAGAAATGTATTAAAAAACATACATACTGCCCACGTTTGCGCAAGAATACTCTTCTGTCTTCCGTATTTTGTCTGCCGATGGAAACATATCCTTCAAGAAGGGTACATCCAGTGAACACTTTCTGGATACCCGACTGCTACACACGCTCGCTTTCACATAACTGTCAATATCACTGAAAATACACAATTGTATACGACACCGTTATTGCATGAACAATTTGCAAAATCTTAAAGTGAATTCTACCAAAAGTTTGGAAAATACGGAGTGGTTAATAAGAAGTTTGAAACCACACAAGCCACCTCTGATTGAAATACTTTGATTTAACAGTAGAAGAGAACGACCTTGTCGCAGAGATTGTTTGAGAAAAAATATTCTTTTTCAGGCTGTTGAAAACAAAGAACTTGTCTGGCACAAACATTACGTTGTTGCAAGGTGTTTTTATAACAAAAATATTTAGACTCATAGTTAAAATTAGAAGGAATATCTGGTTCGGGATCTGTATCTGAAACATTGTCTACTCCACAAACAGCTTCCTGAGAGACGAGACCGCCTCCGTGGTCTTGTGGTAGAGCGTCCGCCCGGAGAGCGGAAGGTCCAGGGTTCGATCCCGGGCCGCGTCATACAAAAAGACGTTAAAAGATTGTACTTGTTGTTACCCTGTCTGGCGCTCAGCATTAAGGGGCTAAAACAAGGACTGGTCGGCTCGGAGTCAGTATACTGTGTCTGAGTGGGGTATTCATGTTAAACTGCGGCATGGTATCTCAGTGAGCTAGCACTATAAATCGGCATCAGTCCGGACTAGTACAAGCAGCCACACACACACATACACGTGCATGCACGACGCTATATAAGTGCAATAATCTTGGACGCGACGTTAAACCCAATTTAACCTCACTTCCTGAGAGACGTGATCATGTTCCACGCATTGTTCATACACACCTACAAACTTTAGCTGCTGAAGTGGGGTCAAACGTGCTCATCAGGTTTTTCAGTAATTCAGTTGGTGAATGGGACAGGTTGCTAAGCATGCTCGCGGCTGGCATTTTGAGGGGTACACCGTACACATCAAAACACTTCTGGTTCACTGTCAGAATACTTGATGAATCGTTGCAGTTTACGAGGTCGGTGAGATCGATGACATCTATGGTTCCATTATTCCCTGAAATTGTATGTAATGAGATCAGTAAAGACTGCATGCAGTACGGAGAGCTACAAGCTATCGTTCAATCGGTTTTACAGCAAATTAGTTAGCACAACATATGATTTTAGCGATAATTGTTCAGCAAGTAGAATGTACCCTTGGTTTAAACAATTTGGTCGACATGGTAAGACAAAAAGAAAAAAACAATATAAGCTTATCTAGTGATTTGCGTATTGTCTTCACATTTCGAAGTGATGATGATGATGATGAGTGAGTGAATGAGTGAGTTGGGTTTAACACTGCTATGAACAGTATTCCAGTTATATCACGGCGTGTCAGCTTAATGTGGGAGGAAAGCCCGAAGTGATGCAGGTCTCAGACGTTTACCACTTCGGTCAGACCGACGAGCCCGGGTATGGTGCTGACAAACCTAGAAACATAATCGGGGCGAACTGGGATTCGAACCCACAATCATAGGTTTCTGGTGTGCCCAAGGGATGCAACTCTGCACTGCGACTTGCGGCGCCTTAGGCGACTGGGCCACCCTTACCCCCTGACATTATGACCCCGATCAGTAGATCCAAGTGTGCCCTCCAACTCAAACATCTGCTCATATCCATAGTTCGTAGATTGTGTTATCTATTGAGAATTGCTCAGGAGCGCGGAAAGATTCAATATAATATCGTCAGAAAATTAAACTGTTTACAAGAAAATTTCAGCTCGTGGTAAGATTGTTGTCATATGCTTGTCTGCAAATACGACTTCCGAATTCATAATCGTTTTTTACTTGTCAGTGACGAGAAGTATAAACAGATAACTCCCACACGCACGCATACACATTATTATTCAAGAATACAATGTCACATACACGTGCGCGCACTCACATGGTCAGTAATTCGAGGATACACTGTCACACACACACACACACACACACACACACACATACACAGACAGCACACAGACAGCACACAGACAGCACACACAGAGGAACAGGTGGGTCGGGTACCTAAGAATACAATGCCATAGCATAGCAAGAGAAAGCTGCTTTCTGATTGGCCAATGTCGTCTTTTTGTTAGTTATTTCATTGGTCGGTCAAAGTTTGCGAAAGGTCGTTCTGACGTGACCCGTTATGGGATGTCCTCAGATCTTTTGCTTAGCGGTAGGAAGAACTAAAAGCCGCGTTTAGTGAAATTGTTAAACGCCACCGACAACATTATTTCACCTTCATCATGGCGGACAGTAAAACATCGAGCTCTGTCAAGTGAAACCAATGATCGACGATGTCGGTGTACAGTGACATACAATCAACAATCACAAGTCGCACTCTGTAACCGTCCGGTCCTCATAATCGGCTGCTAACGAACCTAATCTTGCGTTGGTGTTCACAAGAGGTTGGGCTGGGGTGAGAATATGCCCCCAGCACCCCATTGCTAGGCGTACGAGGCAACTAAATTGGACCAAGTGAATAATGCGCGTGGGAAATGGTCTCAAGAGGTTATTAAAAGTGTGTGGTTGTCAGGTTTTAATGGCTTCGTTGATGGCGTACCACGACGACTCGGATTGCTTCTCATAATATCTATCACTGGTCTGTCTGGTCCAGACTCGATTAGGTACGGGCCGCCGTCATATAGATTGAATATTGCCGATTGAGGCGTTAAATACACAGACGCACGCACGCACGCACACGCAGCAAATTCTGCCTGAGGACGTTCAGTGAACAGCAACGCAAAATTAGTGTTAATGCTTAGAGAAACCAAACCGGTTTCCACAATATTTGAGAAATTAAATCATATTTATAGACTATACTTGTAAGTTAAGTTTGATCGATATTTGCAGAGGAACCAAGGAACGAAGTAAAGTCACATGAGACTATCCTGGAGAGTTCGCAGTGTCAAGAGATACTAACTCAAGATAGCTTAAGCTGACACTTACTGCGACGGGTATATAAACCAGTGTTGATGACACATTTATAGACTATACTTGTAAGTTAAGTTTGATCGATATTTGCAGAGGAACCAGGCAACGAAGTAAAGTCACATGAGTCTATCCTGGAGAGTTTGCAGTGTCAAGAGATACTAACTCAAGATAGCTTAAGGTGACACTTACTGCGACGGGTTTATAAACCAGTGTTGATGACACATTTATAGACTATACTTGTAAGTTAAGTTTGATCGATATTTGCAGAGGAACCAAGGAACGAAGTAAAGTCACATGAGACTATCCTGGAGAGTTCGCAGTGTCAAGAGATACTAACTCAAGATAGCTTAAGCTGACACTTACTGCGACGGGTATATAAACCAGTGTTGATGACACATTTATAGACTATACTTGTAAGTTAAGTTTGATCGATATTTGCAGAGGAACCAAGGGACGAAGTAAAGTCACATGAGACTATCCTGGAGAATTCGCAGTGTCAAGAGGTACTAACTCAAGATAGCTTAAGCTGACACTTACTGCGACGGGTATATAAACCAGTGTTGATGACACAGTGCACCTGTTGACATTGTGTGACTATGCAGAGAGTAATGGGAGTTACGGGCTTATAATCGACAGGGATGTTTGCAAGTTTTTCATACATTAGCAACAGAACAGTTGTTTGGGCACACGAATGACTTCTACAGTACCAATGAATCTTCTTTTACATAATGTTATATTAGCATCAGTTTACTTGTGTCTGCTACCTTCTGAAACCGCCAGTTATTCAACATGGTAAGTAACATCTGATCATACTGTTTTACCTTATTTGGATTAAATCTTTTTAATGAATCTGTGGTTAAGTCTTGTGAGTGCACGTGACATGATGCTTTAGGAGAACTGAGTCATTCAACTGGAATTACTTGTATGTGAAGGACCCGTGAGGATCCGGGTTAGAATAGGTCTTCAGCAACCCATGCTTGCTGTAAAAAGCGACCAAGAGACGACTAACGGGATCTTGTAATCAGGCTCGCTGACTTGGTTGATGCATGTCATCGTATCCCAATCGCGTGGATCGATGCTCATGATGTCAATCACTGGATTGTCTGATCCAGGCTCGATTATTTACAGACCGCCGTCATATAGCTGGAATATTGATGAGTTCGGCGTTAAACAACAAACAAACAAATGTAGGCGAAGTTTTATCGAGATTCTCGAAGGCATCAGAGAACAATTCAGGTCACGTGTTTCACCGCCCCTATTATTTGATTTAGACCCTCAATCCTATTAAATGGATAATTCCTCAATACCATTGTGCGAAGAGTTTGTGCAGCGTTAAGCAGTAATCACTCACTCGCTTTCACCACACGCGAGACATTTTTAGTGACGGTTTGACAGACATAAAAACGTACCTGAAACCGTCGAAAACAACATAAAAACGAACAGGCACAAAAGCTCCATGGTTCCAAATGTCACCAACAAAAGAAAGTTCCTCTATATTTATATTGTGCTTGAAATAGACATTGTTATCAGTGTAGAGAGTAACATCTGGTAGACTACAAAGACACCTGTGTGTACGTGCCATACGCCGTTACATTTTTTAACTTCTATGACAAAAGATAACGGTATTGTGAAAAAGTATCCATGAGAACAACTAGGTTTGTTTCTAGAACCGTTTTTTGTCACGAATATATGTAACAGGCCAGGTGTAAAATCCCTCACTGTGTAAAGTAACTTTTCACTACAATTTACAAAAAGCCTCAACGTTTCAGTTCTGGTACAAATAGACTGAAAATGTATATTGGGTTTTTTTCTAGCTTCTGATCCAAGCATAATTAGTCTGTGGTGATGTTTTTACGTCCTTTTGACCTTCTTAATGTTTGTAGGCAATCTGTCAACTAAATGAGCAGATAGTTCAGTCAATTTGTCAATCAGATTCTACACATCGACTGTAACATATATACTATGTATGAATAACAACTAATTCTGATAATTCGTTTTTAATGATACTAGTAACTGAATGAAAGGTTTGATGATAATGAAGCCCGTGAAGATCCGGGGGTAGAATAGGTCTTCAGTAACCCATGCTTGCCGTAAAAGGCGACTATGCTTGTGGTGAGAGGCGACTAACGGAATCGGGTGGTCAGGCTCGCTAACTTGGTTGATGAATGTCATCGATCCCAATTGTGTGGATCGATGCTCATGTTGGCAATCACTGAATTGTCTGGTCCAGACTCGTTTATTTACAGACCGCCGTCATATTGCTGAGTGCGGCGGTAAACAACAAACAAACAAACAAACGTGATGATAATGACTATATTGTGGTCACGATTTGTAAGCCAGCATATTCTGTACATAATTAAACAGGATTGAACAATGTCCCTTGTAGTTTTCTTCGTTTTGTTTCTGTAAATAAAATGGACATTTCATTTGAAATATCTACTAAAGGGAGAACCGATTTTAGGATTACGACTACCATAAGCATGTGTTTACGAGTCTCTATTGGCTAGTGTTGACACGGGTGCTCGCAAAAAGAGAGCGTATCCTGCCCGATCAGTGGCACCAGTGCACTAATCGTGAACGAAGTTAAACGTTAAACCCTGATTCCCCTCACCTCACCTCACGTTGAGGGAGTTCCATGGTGTGTTTTATTTGATAACAACAATATTTGCGTTCACAATTTTATTAAGAAGGAAATAAATCAAACAACCGCATTGTTCATTGTCCAACTAAACAATGGATCTAATGCCCCTGTGAAAAAACCCGAAGTAATTCTTCATCAAAACACGATGAGGGAGAGAGAGAGAGAGAGAGAGAGAGAGAGAGAGAGATTCATAAATAACTGCGATCCCCGACCTCGTTAAAAGATGGTACTTGAGTGGAGTACGTCTGAGTGGAGTATTCATGTTAATCTGCGGCATATAAATCGGTATTTGTCCGGACTAGTACAAGCAGCCACAGACACTCACTCACACACACACGCTATATAAGTGCAATAATCTTGAACGCGACGTTTAAACCCTATTTCACCTCACTTCACCTTGAATAACTGACCCTTATCTCTGTGTGTGCGTTTGCGTGCAAGCCAGAGAATCGGTTGTGCACGTAACATATAGTTACAAATATAACTGAAAATGTCTAGCCTCTTCAATTTACATTATCATACGATCATTTTCGTTATGGTGTTGTCAAGGTCAAAATGTACACCAAAAGCTCAGAAAATTTTAACAAATTCATGAAGGCTACCGTCGCGAATACATCGATGCTGTGATTGCTTTGTGATACTGAAGTTAGACACAATGAAGGGAATCGATAGCGGGTGACAAAACGGTCAGTATTTCTCTGTAATTTTCCGATTATGACACCTTCGGGAGTTCATGGCCTGGGTTATTCTCAAATCGCCTACACACCAATTCGCCTACGCTTCAATGTGTCTACAGGTACTATGTAGGCGATTTTAACCAATCAAAATGATGTCTCAAGGCAAGTCCGGCTCGAACACTTTAAAATATTTTCTCATGTTTAAGTGAGTAGTGTGAGTTTTAACAGTGAAGTTGATCGAGTCGAACCGCGGCCGCTTCAGGTAATGTGGGGAAAGCCTGAAAGTGAGGCAGGTCGTACACGTTTATCACTTCAAACCCACGAGCACAGGTTTGGTGCAGAAAAACCCAGATACATGATCAGGACGAACCTGGATTCGAACCCAGGTTTCTGGCCTGCATAGGAGACGCAAATCTGCACAGGGAACTGCAACTGAGACGACTGGACCACCAGTGACGTTTCTTCCGTAACATACAGATTCATAAATGAGACTTATAAATTCTTGAGTAGTGAAAAGATATACAAGGAAATAGTATACAAATAATTACTTTTGACGAGATCAATATGCGAAAACAAGGACCCGAGGACCCGACCCCTGAGGTGGTCTGACTTGGGCAGCCGGGGGGTGTCCGGTCAGACAGCCTAAGGGATGGGGTCCGATGGTCCTTGTATTCATATATTTACCTCGTTAAGGATAATCATTCGTTTTGTTACACCGAAATTTACTTTAAAGTTCATGAAGTCTTTAAACAGTCCTCTTTCATTTAAGTAGCTGGGGGGGCACGGGTGGCCCAGTCGTCTAAGGCGCCGCGATTCGCTGTGCAGAGTTGCGTCCCTTGGGCATGCCAGAAACCTATTATTGTGGGTTCGAATCCCGGTTCGCCCCGATTATGCTTCTAGGTTTGTCAGCACCATAACCGTGCTCGTGGGTTTCACCGAAGTGGTAAACGTCTGAGACCTGGATCACTTCGGGCTTTCCTTCCACATAAAGCTGACACGCAACGGTATAACTGGAATACTGTTAAAAGCGGCGTTTAACAAAACTCACTCACTCATTACAGTAACTGAGATGCAAACCGCGCAGTGTTCGTACGAGACGCCATCTTGTTTTCTAGCAGACGAGTCAATATTCATCACGTGACATGTCAATACTGATCATGTGACGAGTCAATACACGAGATCAATGTCAGTCACATGATTTCGGGGTCTACATTGAAACGTATTATTTCGTCACGTGGTACGGATTTACCAAAGGAATTGCCAGATTCTTAATAGAGCAAAAAATCTGAAATATTTGTAAAGAACAGCGTGAAACATCTTCACAGAAAGATAATTGTTACATGGTGGCATCTACACACATCGTCATTCCACGCATTACCAAACCCTTCGTGACACAACTTCATGCTCATGTGTAACAACGTTTGAAGAAGGATGTGAAGTTTATTTCTTGCAATTCTTCTTGTGACCTGGCCAATCCTTTCGCTGGCATTCCCTGTTGCAGTAGGTCACCTTCAAACACCCTACGCATCTTTTGCACTGACTGGACACCTTTCCACAGCTGCTGCAGCTATTATCCGAAGCTTCCTGCCTGGACGTGCTGCCCTGACAGGGGGCTGCTCCCCCTTGTCTAGGGGTTACTGTCTTTGGATATCCGCTGTAGCCAGGGACGTGTTTCCTCATTTCTTCGTACAACTCGTCCACTGTTTCCTTTGAGACTTCTCTATCGTGCATATCAGTCAGCATCCTATGAATTTGTTCTTTTGCATCTGAACAATATTTAAAGCTGGTAATAATGGTTAGCATGTTTATCATCATAATTATACTGATGGAAGGAAGAAGGAATTAAGGAACACACAAATTATTGTCTTCAGAGAAGTGCGATGACTGGATGTCATTACGGCATCAACTGTGTTCACTATTTGGCCGAATATTCTGACTTTTCAAGTTACAAACTTCATAATAAACACCCCATTAATTAGCCTTTCTTCTTTTTCTTTACGTCAGTATTTGTCATTTGATAATCAACAATTATCGAAGGCAGACAGAGCAAGAAGTAGATATACGTTATCAGGTCCGACACACAATTCTAATATGTACTGTTTACAGGTTTTAAATACTTACTGTCTTGGTCTGCGGGAAAATCCCCATATTTTGCACTCAGATTCACTTCCTTCACTAATAACCGGAATGCGAGATAGCTGTAGCGAGGTCGTACGTAGGTTCTGAACGTCCAGCGGACCTCGTCGCGGCCTTCCTGTTGAAGACGTGAGCTGTTCAGTCTCAGTATCCTGGACAACATCTCATAACCCTGAAGAACAAATATCTAACATACAGTGGAACTCAGAAGCAGGACAGTACCCTTCCCAAAGAAATCGTCATTCAACAAGTTTCTAAAAAATAGAAAGAAAGAAATATATTGTGGTTTCACCGATTTCAAAAAAAAACTTTTGGCAATGTTTGGCTTATAGGTTTATTAGCACAAGGTATTGATGGGAAACGTAGTCGTATCATTGTTAATAATAGGAGTTTTTGGTGGTACAAAAAGAGACAAGACTAAACATATATTAATAAATGTCTCACCAATCGAATGTGTTCACGATTATAAATATCTTGGTATTCATTTTACAAACAATAAATCTATTCAAACCTTTACAAAAGCAAATTGTGAATCTGCCACTAAGGTCATGTACTTTGTATTACATACATGAAGAAACTTAATCTATTAATAAAGCTATATCTCTTCGGTTCTATGGTAAAACCAATTATATTATTTGGTTGTGAATATTGAATCTGTTTATGTTAATGTTTGACGTAAATTACTTTCCATAAACAAAACTACACCTTCATACATGTTAAAAGGAGAACTTGGAAGAGTACCTTTAATAAACTCTAGTAAATGTCGAATGGTAGGTTTTGAGGCCGAGCTCCTATCTAGCAAGGAATAAAAATTAACAAGAATCCGATATTAAATGTTATATAATGAAATAGGTACAAACAATAGCTGTCATAAATGGATAGAATGTTTGGAAAGTACTTTAAAGAGACGGGTTATAGTTTATAATGGTTAACCCAGTAGTTCTTCCATAAACTTGTCCATAAATCTAACATTTCTTTAAGATTATCTGATATAGCAACTTTAATTGTAAAAAAATGTATATGTCACTAAAAGAATGTACGTTCTGCAAGGTCATTAAGAAAACTGAAAAACCTTCCACGTAAACCATACCGTCATCTAAAGTATATATTGTTTATAAATTTGTACCTCATATGCCGATTATCCAGGTTGAGTGTAAATAAAGTTCTGTCCGTTTACTCAGAAAAACTAAATCTATAGTGACTATATGTGAATGTGCCTGCGTGTGGTCTTTTTCCAAGGCTGTCTTTTGTCAGAGAAAGTAAACAATTTCGGACAAAGCTTCAAGGCAGCCAGTTTTTGTGACAACACATGGTAATATAACTCAGGACATCCAAGCATGACCTGGGAACAATGTATCTTTTGTAAACCACGAGGAAGCAATTATTCAATTCTGTCACTAAGGACTAACATGTCACTAGTTCTGTTGTATAGTATTTCAGCATGTACACTCACCGGCAGATACTTGTCCACGCGAGGGAGCAGTTCGTCCGGTACGACATCCACCACAACCTTCATTATGTCTTCACGAGTTATTTTCCCCGTTTTCAATAACATCCATGCCGTTTCGAAGTCATACCAGGTGACAAACATAGCCAGCCTCTCCTCCCACACCTTCACCCCCTCCACGTGGAAAACCCCTGCCCACTTGTATATTTGATCAGGACTCTGGAGATACATGGGTACACACAGGACCTTGGTCTGGGGAGAGAAAGGTACATATCCAGATTTATTATATACTTCAGTGTGAAAGACCGAGTTTTCTGAAGTTGAGAAAAGTGGTATTTTCCTTGCAGTGAAAATAACACTTGATATTTCACAGCAGTGAACATAACACTTGACGGAACTATTGTCTTGCAAGAGTTACCTCGCCGCAAACTATCTCCCCTTTATCGTAAGTGTCTAGCCCGTACATAAATTGTTGACTTAATATTTACGTTAGTTCCACATTGACAAGGCAAAATAATGACAGATTATTTATGGAGTGAAGATGGCTGATTTTCGGTCTGATTTGGTGGTAGATGATTTATGTTCTTTCACTCTGACGTTTCGCAGACCACATTATAAACTGCCCTTACAACATTTCATGTCGGGCAAAGGACAAATCCTATCAAACAATTTTCATGACTTCACCAAACGAAAACTAGCAGAAGTAGTTCAAATCCGCCGACACAAGCCCCCAATCAACAGAGATAAGGATATCTCATCCCATCTGCCTACAATGAATTGGAAAAACAACAGAACACTCCAGCTTTCATCATCTGTATCTGTACCCCGTCACGTACAGCTGGCTTCTTTCTGTTGTCACGATGTAAACCATCCATTATCCCGTGTTGATTCTGATACTCCCTATCATGTACAACCTCATGCTGTTTTTGTTCATCGGGGGCGTCACGCCGAAGACCCGGGTTCGATTCCCAACATGGGTACAATGTGTGAAGCCCATTTCTGGTGTCCCCCGCCGTGACATTGCTGGAATATTGCTAAAAGCGGCGTAAAACCATACCCACTCATTGTTTTTGTTAATCCTTATGATATGTATATAATCCTGCACTGTACTGTCTTACTTCACTCTTGCTTGGCAATGGTATAAGAATCTATACAGAAACGTCAAAATAAAATAGGTAGTTGTCATCCATAAAATATCTACCTGGTATCTACCTGCATAGAGATTATTAGCCGAGTGTGTTTCCGGAGCATACATATCACATATTAGGAATTAAACATGGATTATGGGCGTCCTTGGTGTAAATAACGCAAATTTTGTATTTGTAATTTAAATATTTACGGAAACACGAGGGTTATACTCTTATTATCATATAATGTCAGTTTTAAAAGAATCGGGGTACAAGACGTAATGTCGCTCAAAGAAATAACTGCGTATGAATATAGTGTTCGAGTGAAACGCCCCATTTATCATATAGGTCCACATACTTTGCATCCACGTATGCCTACAGAATTTTAGTATTTTAAGAATCACATCACATGAGTCCTCGTGTGTTTTCCTATCGTTAATATCATATATCAGGAATATATGTGTTGTGTTTTATAAAATTTGTATTTCTAATATATGATATTTTAGGTACGAAAACACACTAGGCCAGTAATCTCTGTATACTACCTCGTCTGTTAATTCAATTATAATTATGAGTACCAATCATGGGTACAATGTGTGAAGCCCATTTCTGGTGTCCCCCGCCGTGATATTGCTGGAATATTGTTAAAAGCGGCGTAAAACCATACTCACTCACTCACTCACTCACTCTTGGTTACTATGTTAAGGCTTACCCCGCTCGTGTGCTTGGTTACTATGTTAAGGTTTACCCTACTCGGGGTCTTGGTTACAATGTTAAGGTTTACCCTGCTCGTCTGCTTTGTTACTATGTTAAGGCTTACCCTGCTCGTGTGCTTTGCTACTACCTCAACACTTACTCTGCTTGGGTTCTTGGTTACTATGTTAAGGCTTACTCTGCTCAGGTTCTTGGTTACTATGGTAAAGCTTACCCTGATTGTGTGCTTGGTTACTAGGGAAAGGCTTACCCTGCTCGTGAGCTTTGTTACTATGTTAAGGCTTACCCTGCTCAGGTTCTTGGTTACTATGTTAGGGTTTACTCTGCTTGTGTGCTTGGTTACTATGGAAAGGCTTACCCTGCTCGTGTGCATTGTTACTATGTTAAGGCTTACCCTGCTCGTGTGCTTTGTTACTACCTCAACGCCTTCCCTGCTCGGGTTCTTGGTTACTACCTTAAGGTTTACCCTGCGTCGGTGCTTGGTTACTATGTCAACACTTACCCCACTCGGGTTCTTGGCCGCTATGTCAACATTTACCCAACTCGGGTTCTTGGTCACTATGTCAACACTTACCCCGCTTGGGTTCTTGGCCACTATGTCAACACTTACCTTGCTCGGGTTCTTGGTTACTATGTTAAGGCTTACTCTGCCCCTGTCCTTAGTGTCAACATCAAACCTTTCCCTGATCCTGTTTTGGTAGTTAACATTAACAATTGCCCAGCTCATGTTCTGAGCCACAAATCCAAATCGTACCCTGCTCCTGTTCTCGGCGACCCTTTGGAGGAGGAACTGAATGACGCCTTGCAATTGATGTGCGAGTTTGGGATTATCCAGCTCCAAGATAGACTTGTCCGTGTTAATAGGGTAGATACGGTAAAGGTGTGTGTGAATCAGTTGTTTTCCAAAGGTGGAATCTGGGAATTCCGGCAGCCCAGCTACATCAGTGATGGAGAGCTTCTGTTTCGGGAGTATCCGGTCTCCAAAAGCCAGCTCCTCATTTTTAAAGAAGGTGCTAGTTATGAAACCACGTTTTCGTGAGAACTGTGTCTTGCTTGTGGTTAAGGAAACTGCGCACGAAAAGTTGATTACAGTTTTAAACACGACAGTGCTGAAAGAAAACATTAATACATTGAGGAAGTACAGTATTTGAGAAATGTCTCGAGTAATGTCCTGTTAATGTTGGAGGTAGCATCCATTTCAGGGGGAGATTTTTTAAATTAATAGTTTCTTCAGTAATATGCCAAAAATGAAGCGTTTGTTGGCAGTGGGAAAAACTGAAAATTTTAGTATAAATTGCATATTTATATATACTCAACAACAAAAGTTCCTGTGACACCAATATTTTAGTGTATTTTTCAAACAAGTAAAGTTTGGTTTTCAATATTGTAGTATATGTATGGAATCAAGTCACAAAAACGCACCTGCTAAAGTTGGCTTTTATACAAGCCCCATGCATTTCACTACCCTAGAATGGGTATAAAAACATGTGCGTTAATGGGATTCCATATGCATTGTTCAGCATCGTGCTGACAACAACCACTCAGAAAAACAACAAAATTACACAATTATTCAACATTACGAAATGCCACGCCTGTCCGAAAATGAGCGTCTACGAGCCATTGGTATCTTTGAAGCAGGATCGAGTCAACGTGATGTTGCAAGACAATTTAACGTCTACAGAAACACCATTTGGTGTTTATGGCAGCGTTGGCAACAGACGAATGCAGTCAGAGACCATTTCGGAGTGGCAGGCCACGCGTAACCAATAATCGACAAGACAACTGGATGCGAACAACACACGTACGAAATCGATTCCAGCCAACAACAGTGACTGCAAGAAGCATCCCTGGCCTTCGACGAATATCTTCTCAAACCGTACGTCGTTGCCTCAGATGTGCAGGGATTGTCGCCAGAAGACCCGCTAGACGTCCCATTTTGACAGGAAACCAACGTCAAACACATCACAGTCATGCAGACGGTGTCTATGCTGGACGGCCATGCAGTGGGGACAAGTTCTATTCACTGACGAGTCTCGTTTTCACCTCAGCCACAGCGATGGACGGATTCCAGTGTACCGACGTCGAGGTGAACGTTACGTCAATCATTGTGTCATGGAAGAAGATCGGTTTTGGGGCGGCAGCGTTATGGTATGGTATGGTATGATTACAGCAAGACAGAGGACCCATTTGATAGTGGTAAAGGGAAATTATCTTTTATCTTTTGCAAACCGAAATTGTTTCAGATTTGGTAAAAAACATAACTTTGCATTAAATCTTATTCAATGTCACAGGAACTTTAGTTGTTCAGTATCCTTTTCCTATCTCGCACTATGCATTCCTTCTACTTCGATCTTATGTGGAAACTGTGCTTGAACCAAGTTTCCAGCATCTAAAACAACAAACATTCACCCGAACAAACCCAAGCATCCCTATGGTTACTGACTAACAACTGGGTCGAGTGTGTACTCCCGTTTAGGAGAGATAGCTCACGCTGACGTCCGCGCGCTGTATATTTATAAATTTTGTAGGACCTTGTGTCTTTACCCTCCAGGTTTCGTTAAATTCACGATTGTCCCGCTACTGGAGTGGTCACGGTCGTTTCCGACTTTGTTCGATCTAGATTCAGACTTAGTCTGGTTGTACTGAACTAAACTGGGTGACAAGGGTTTGTAATACTATGGATAACCAACCTTCCCGTGATTGCCTAGTTATTTAGGAATTTTAGTATTTCCTTGTTCAGTCCAATCTTTTGTGGATTTCAATATTCCGATGTACCCTGTCGATTTTGTAGTCTAAGGGACTTATTTTAGGGATAAGCCCTCCGTTTATTTCCCCTTATTTAACCCAGCTGAGGTTATTCACTTATTAAGAGTGTTGAATTTATTGACTCACTTAACTGGCAGTCTACCCACCGTTATCTTATCAAAGTGTTGTTTTAGCCACTCATTCTATTTTAAGGATTGATTGTGTATTTTTTTCAGTTCATTGAGGTTAGAATCGAAAAACCGACTTGCAAACTGTATGAATCCGCGTATGAATGCTTATAATTAAATTCGACAATGAACACATGTTTTATCTTTAATAGTTTAACCAAAAACAGTTGTATATATCAAAGCAGACAAAAATGACGAGATTGATAAACATTCCGTGTGTAGGAATACAAACTGTAGCGTGACATGAATCAGGTGATTGTTTAATTCATGCATATAACTTGACACGCCTACATATCAGTAGCCAATCAACGGAGATGATGATATAAACAAAGTTCAGAGGACCTGTCAATCAAGGCAAGAGGCGAGAAGAACAGCAACAGTCAGACTGTAATGAACCGGAACAAATACGTTCGGGAGAAGGCGGCTGTTTCAAATGACATGGTCAGTTACCGCCAGATTCAAACATTAGTTCCCTGACACTAGGAAGACACAGTTGGAAAAATGCTAGTAAGAAATGAAACCGGAAGACATGAAAGTTGTGGAACCGAGGCGAGCCGGAAAAAACAGGCGAGAGAGCCTGCACGTTTGCGGTTTTAATCCTTCTCGGCCTTCATTCTCCAAGAGTTGTTTGGACAACGAATATGCATGAATTTCGCTTAATGTTCTGTGCATGACGAAACACGTGAGGAGAAAAGGAATTCCCTCAATTGTAATATTGGATTCCCAGACATTCGGTAGTAATCAAAGTAGTCCGCTTTGGTAGGCGTGGCTTCATTTTTTACATTCATTGGGAAATGAATGCAATTACACGTGACCAATTCAGCTAATCAGAATGCAGAAGTTTCAATGAACACAAACAAAATGTAATTATCTCGTAACACAGTTGCTTGATGAAGCTGCTTGAATATCTGCGCTGATGAAATTAATCAATGACCTTTGTCAGCGCAGATTGTGTTTATCTGATATTTTATTGTCATCTATCAGTACAATTGGGCGTTATTAATAAACCTGTGAGCCTATTACCACGTTTTCTTTATTACTTTATTCGCATTTTGTGACACCTCTGATCATTGGAACACAGCCCCGTTATACTAATAAAACAGGCACCAGGGAGTCTGAGGCAGCGAAGAGGTGAGGTGAGGTGAAATGAGGCCTCACGTCGCGTTCAAGATTATTGCACTTATATAGCGACGTGCATGCACGTGTGTGTGTGGCGGTGTGGCTGCTTCTACTAGTCCGGACTAATGTCGATTTTATAGTGTTAGCCCACTGAGATACCATGCCGCTTTTCAACATGAATACCCTACTCAGACATACGAGCCAACCAGTCCTTGTTTTAGCCCTGTAATGACGAGCGCCAGACATGGAAACAACAAGAACCATCTTTTATCGTATTTTGGCATGACGCGACCTAGGATAGAACCCCTGACCTTCCACTTTCCGGGCGGACGCTCTACCACTAGACCACGGAGTCGGTCCTGAGGGAGCAGTAAGAGGACTGGACGCGACAGTAGGTTTCTTCGCTGACTTAGCTTTCTTTTCAGAATCTCTGGACTTAGATCGGCGGTACATCACTCCCCGGTGACACGTCCGAATACAGAGTCTCCAAAAGTATCACACTCAACACACCTCGATCTGGGAACACTGGCCACGACAAGTGTGTCGGCACTGTATGTATTAGTGTGTTGGCACCTTGCATACGCCGGAGGTAGCTTATCTCCCCACAAAACCCCTCCGGGAGATACACACGTGATTAGGTCGTGTAAGGGTACCGTGAACGGGAGCACGTTGTTGGCCTGGATGTAAGCCAGTAACCATGGGATGATGGTGTGTGTGTGTGTGTGTGTGTGTGTGTGTGTGTGTGTGTGTGTGTGTGTGTGTGTGTGTGTGTTCGAAGACACCTTACTATTTACGCTTACCCGCAATCTTCGAATGTGTACACGATGGCGAAGTGGTTGTCGCTGCTGTAGTCACAGGTGAATTGTCCTTTCATTTGGTCAAGGCTGACACTGACCGTTACTTCATAACGATCGATGTACTCTGTGATGCTCTAGACCCATGTTGAAGGAAATAATACATCAATCAACAGGTGTGCAGCAAATTTACATTATATATATATTTAGTGCCTTTCGAAAACAATGAATAACTTCTCCTTGCGATTTCATCAGGGTTTTATTGTTTAAAGGACTAGGAACCGCAAATAGATTCTCGGGAAAGAAGTGTGCTTCATGAAATTTAAATTACAGTATACTACGGTTATAACGAACTCAAAGGGACTACTATTTTTAGTTCGTTATAACCGTAGTTCGTTTTAAGCATATATACAGCATAACATAACAGCATAGTCGGGACTAAAAAGTAAGTTCGTTATATCCGTCAGTTCGTTAAAAGCGTGTTTGTTATAACCGTATTTTACTGTATATGGATGGCGTGTGTCTTGAGTAGTTGAAAACGTGTAAAAACTAAAGTTTGAAACAACACCTTTTGATTTGACAAACTCAACGTATCCATCCCTGCGTCCAGAGCTGTATCAGCAGCGACCTTCAAGAACCCTAACAACACAAATTCACTTCTTTGAGTGGCATTTAGAAGTTGGAATGGTAACTAAGACAAAATTGTTATGGATGAGCAACTTCTTTATTACAATTGGGCGACGTTTCGGTGTTGATTCTAACACCGTTATCAAGCAAATTTTCAGCTTTTTCAAATTAGCAGTGTGTGCTAAACTGGCCTAATGTGTTCAGACCATGAATACGTAACTTCGTTCTTTTCAAAGATTAGACTGATTCAAGGACATGCGCTTCAATACGGGCATGCATACTAAGTCTCAACGTAGGAGCCGAGCAATTACATTTGGGTATGTTATATTTCAAAGCAAATTCAATGGGGTTTTATAGAACCAGAGGACAAATGATTACTAATTTCCCTTGCGAGTTACGAGTAAATAAATTTTCGTTACAAACTGTAACAAACGGATATACATACCAAATGAAGCAGGAAGTGGTCCCATCAGAAAGCCTTCAATTATCTTCGCTATCTGTTCTCCTTCAAATAAGGTCAACACGTATCAATCAGATAGCGTAATTATAGAAAATGATATTTAATGACATTGTACTTTCCAATATAGAGAAGAGATTCAAACTTAACCAATTTGTTCCATCAACTGAACCAGAAAGAAAACTGTTATCATAAAATGGATAGTGTTGTGGATGCGATAAAGCAGCCAGACACCCTTTTTATAACATTCAGCCAGAAGGTTAGTAAACTATCCGGCCTGGCACGCGGCAGCGTTAAAGAGAATCATATTTCAGTTTCGACGCACGACCATGTGACATTGGTCACTTCCGACTTGGTCAGTGTCAAGCTGGACATTTTGAGATAAGGAGTCATGAGTGTTAGGTATATATATGCCTTGTAACCTTGTTAATGTATTTTTTTCATGACTGACGAAATAATGAATATTCCGAAGGTGGTTATGGATGGAATCTAGGAACGTTAGCAGTAAATTTGATTATGGGTAAGATAGAAAATAACCAACTCGAAACTCGGAATTCGCTCACTCAGGACCTATGACAAAAGATACACCACAATTCCTCGTAGCTCGTCAGTTATGGAGAAACCTTTCAATAAAGACTATGAGCCTAATAATAATTTACAATATGATTTTGCAGCAGACAATTTCTTTTTATTTCAAGTCCGAAGCGAAATTATTTTTTCAAGCATTCGCTGGGACAATGTATCCCTCCACCCCCCGCGGATATCAAACGGTCGGTCACTTGGTTGACAAATACAAACCTCCTCCCTCCACATACTGCACAAGTCTTTTTACAAGCTTTATCACTGAAGTAGTATCAACAATTGTAAAGCCTGCACCCTTGAATTTCAATGGGCCCATGGTCGCCTTGCTGTCAGTATTGGGGCGAACTATTGCCCGGAGACACTTGGACACTTCGTCTGATCCTGAAAAGAGAAATATATTCAATAGTTTCGTTTATTATTAGTTTCCTCTAGCTAATATTAAGACAATATAAATAATTTAAACAATAAACACACTTGATCCAGACTATACTCACACCAGAATATACTCACATCATGGAAAGATTGACAATGGTCATGTTACTTCTGAATATTTACCTGTGAGTGTCAACTTTGATGGTTCTGGGGCCACTTTCCAGTTGAGAATCAAACGTCCACAACCCGCAAAGAATCCACTCTCCAATGGGCGCCTAAGCAACAGCATGGATAAAGCATTGCCACAAGTTTTATAATAACAAAATGTTCGTTGGACAAGCTTGGTGTTCTTAAAAAAGGTGTAAATATTATTGGAGCAGTGATCAATAAAATATTATATCCAACAAAAAGCCCACATAATATTAAATGGTTATCTAATGGCGACGAACATCTTACATCCATAACATATTCCGATTTCTTAATTGTTGTAAATATAAATTGTCAATCATAAGAATAACCAGCCTAGACTTTCTGCCGAAACAGATTCCACTTGGCGCTTAGGAAATCATATGAATGGGCCACTGAAAATCAGTGATGACACCAGGTGTTCGCGAAAAGGGTAAGCATGTCCTGCCCTGCAAGTAGCCATTCCTACCATTTGCATAAAAAAGTAAGTATTTATTGCCTGACACAGCACAGCAGCAGTGCGACGTCAGCCTGTAAACAAACCAGACAATCAAGTGACCCATCAAAGCTATGATTTAGTTTACATATAAATGAAAGCGACACAGCCATGGTACTGTCCCGACAATATTATGAGCATGTGTTTATGAATTGCTATCAAATAGTGATGACACCAGTTCGTCGCAAAAAGGTGAACTTATCCTGTTTAACCGATGGCATCTGTCAAAGGGAAGTCAATTGTTCACCTGAAGAAACACGGTAAAATATGATACAAGTAAATATAGAGGGCCACAGCTCTGTTTACGAACATAAAGAGAGTGGTAAAGAAAATTACCTCTTTTGCATTGAGAATGTTGATACAACAAATGCTGCTGTTGTGGGGAATTCGACGCGCAGTATGTCAATGCGGTGGGTTACAAATGAAAATCTCGGGTATCAAAAACTCAAATTCACCAGCAAATCGGGACATGTATAATAATATTAAAAATAATTAATAAAAGCGACAAATCCTTTGCATAATCGTAAGAAAGTGTCAGTGCCAGGTGTCTGCTCTTACTAATGACCAAGGTCCTGGGCCCGCTTGCACAAAACGATCTAAGTGCTAAGACTATTGTAAGCCTATGTTAAAGTTTGGGAGTTAAGATCGTCTTAGCACTAAGATCGCTTTGTGCAAGCGGGCCCAAGTCCACTGTCATCTGTAAATCAGATGCATCATGCCGAGCAGAACAATAAAGCGAGATGTCCGCACTCACTCGTGACCAAGGTTCAAGTCCTCTGCCTATTGTAGATCTTATTATAATACATGGTAAATCAACATAGCCAGGTGTCCGCACTCACTCGTGACGAAGGTTCGAGTCCTCTGACAATGGTAGATCTTATTATAATACATGGTAAATCAACATAGCCAAGTGTCCGCACTTACTCGTGACCAAGATTCAAGTCCTCTGCCAATTGTAGATCTTATTATAATACATGGTAAATCAACATAGCCAGGTGTCCGCACTTACTCGTGACCAAGATTCGAGTCCTCTGACAATTGTAGATCTTATTATAATAATTGGTAAATCAACAAAGCCAGGTGTCCGCACTTACTCGTGACCAAGATTCGAGTCCTCTGACAATTGTAGATCTTATTATAATACATGGTAAATCAACATAGCCAGGTGTCCGCACTTACTCGTGACCAAGATTCGAGTCCTCTGACAATTGTAGATCTTATTATAATACATGGTAAATCAACATAGCCAGGTGTCCGCACTTACTCGCGACCAAGATTCAAGTCCTCTGACAATTGTAGATCTTATTATAATACATGGTAAATCAACATAGCCAGGTGTCCGCACTTACTCGTGACCAAGATTCAAGTCCTCTGCCAATTGTAGATCTTATTATAATAATTGGTAAATCAACAAAGCCAGGTGTCCGCACTTACTCGTGACCAAGATTCAAGTCCTCTGACAATGGTAGATCTTATTATAATACATGGTAAATCAACATAGCCAGGTGTCCGCACTTACTCGTGACCAAGATTCAAGTCCTCTGCCAATTGAAGATCTTATTATAATAATTGGTAAATCAACAAAGCCAGGTGTCCGCACTTACTCGTGACCAAGATTCAAGTCCTCTGACAATTGTAGATCTTATTATAACACATGGTAAATCAACATAGCCAGGTGTCCGCACTTACTCGTGACCAAGATTCAATTCCTCTGCCAATTGTAGATCTTATTATAATACATGGTAAATCAACATAGCCAGGTGTCCGCACTTACTCGTGACCAAGATTCAAGTCCTCTGCCAATTGAAGATCTTATTATAATAATTGGTAAATCAACAAAGCCAGGTGTCCGCACTTACTCGTGACCAAGATTCGAGTCCTCTGACAATTGTAGATCTTATTATAATACTTGGTAAATCAACATAGCCAGGTGTTCGCACTTACTCGTGACCAAGATTCGAGTCCTCTGACAATTGTAGATCTTATTATAATAATTGGTAAATCAACAAAGCCAGGTGTCCGCACTTACTCGTGACCAAGATTCGAGTCCTCTGACAATTGTAGATCTTATTATAATACATGGTAAATCAACATAGCCAGGTGTCCGCACTTACTCGTGACCAAGATTCGAGTCCTCTGACAATTGTAGATCTTATTATAATAATTGGTAAATCAACATAGCCAGGTGTCCGCACTTACTCGTGACCAAGATTCGAGTCCTCTGACAATTGTAGATCTTATTATAATACATGGTAAATCAACATAGCCAGGTGTCCGCACTTACTCGTGACCAAGATTCGAGTCCTCTGACAATTGTAGATCTTATTACAATACATGGTAAATCAACATAGCCAGGTGTCCGCACTTACTCGTGACCAAGATTCAAGTCCTCTGCCAATTGTAGATCTTATTATAATACATGGTAAATCAACATAGCCAGGTGTCCGCACTTACTCGTGACCAAGATTCAAGTCCTCTGCCAATTGAAGATCTTATTATAATAATTGGTAAATCAACAAAGCCAGGTGTCCGCACTTACTCGTGACCAAGATTCAAGTCCTCTGCCAATTGTAGATGTTATTATAATACTTGGTAAATCAACATAGCCAGGTGTCCGCACTTACTCGTGACCAAGATTCGAGTCCTCTGACAATTGTAGATCTTATTATAATACATGGTAAATCAACATAGCCAGGTGTCCGCACTTACTCGCGACCAAGATTCAAGTCCTCTGACAATTGTAGATCTTATTATAATACATGGTAAATCAACATAGCCAGGTGTCCGCACTTACTCGTGACCAAGATTCAAGTCCTCTGCCAATTGTAGATCTTATTATAATAATTGGTAAATCAACAAAGCCAGGTGTCCGCACTTACTCGTGACCAAGATTCAAGTCCTCTGACAATGGTAGATCTTATTATAATACATGGTAAATCAACATAGCCAGGTGTCCACACTTACTCGTGACCAAGATTCAAGTCCTCTGCCAATTGAAGATCTTATTATAATAATTGGTAAATCAACAAAGCCAGGTGTCCGCACTTACTCGTGACCAAGATTCAAGTCCTCTGACAATTGTAGATCTTATTATAACACATGGTAAATCAACATAGCCAGGTGTCCGCACTTACTCGTGACCAAGATTCAATTCCTCTGCCAATTGTAGATCTTATTATAATACATGGTAAATCAACATAGCCAGGTGTCCGCACTTACTCGTGACCAAGATTCAAGTCCTCTGCCAATTGAAGATCTTATTATAATAATTGGTAAATCAACAAAGCCAGGTGTCCGCACTTACTCGTGACCAAGATTCGAGTCCTCTGACAATTGTAGATCTTATTATAATACTTGGTAAATCAACATAGCCAGGTGTTCGCACTTACTCGTGACCAAGATTCGAGTCCTCTGACAATTGTAGATCTTATTATAATAATTGGTAAATCAACAAAGCCAGGTGTCCGCACTTACTCGTGACCAAGATTCGAGTCCTCTGACAATTGTAGATCTTATTATAACACATGGTAAATCAACATAGCCAGGTGTCCGCACTTACTCGTGACCAAGATTCAATTCCTCTGCCAATTGTAGATCTTATTATAATACATGGTAAATCAACATAGCCAGGTGTCCGCACTTACTCGTGACCAAGATTCAAGTCCTCTGCCAATTGAAGATCTTATTATAATAATTGGTAAATCAACAAAGCCAGGTGTCCGCACTTACTCGTGACCAAGATTCGAGTCCTCTGACAATTGTAGATCTTATTATAATACTTGGTAAATCAACATAGCCAGGTGTTCGCACTTACTCGTGACCAAGATTCGAGTCCTCTGACAATTGTAGATCTTATTATAATAATTGGTAAATCAACAAAGCCAGGTGTCCGCACTTACTCGTGACCAAGATTCGAGTCCTCTGACAATTGTAGATCTTATTATAATACATGGTAAATCAACATAGCCAGGTGTCCGCACTTACTCGTGACCAAGATTCGAGTCCTCTGACAATTGTAGATCTTATTATAATAATTGGTAAATCAACATAGCCAGGTGTCCGCACTTACTCGTGACCAAGATTCGAGTCCTCTGACAATTGTAGATCTTATTATAATACATGGTAAATCAACATAGCCAGGTGTCCGCACTTACTCGTGACCAAGATTCGAGTCCTCTGACAATTGTAGATCTTATTATAATACATGGTAAATCAACATAGCCAGGTGTCCGCACTTACTCGTGACCAAGATTCAATTCCTCTGCCAATTGTAGATCTTATTATAATACATGGTAAATCAACATAGCCAGGTGTCCGCACTTACTCGTGACCAAGATTCAAGTCCTCTGCCAATTGAAGATCTTATTATAATAATTGGTAAATCAACAAAGCCAGGTGTCCGCACTTACTCGTGACCAAGATTCAAGTCCTCTGCCAATTGTAGATGTTATTATAATACTTGGTAAATCAACATAGCCAGGTGTCCGCACTTACTCGTGACCAAGATTCGAGTCCTCTGACAATTGTAGATCTTATTATAATAATTGGTAAATCAACAAAGCCAGGTGTCCGCACTTACTCGTGACCAAGATT